ACGCAAGCTTCCTGCGTACGCCCAACTAAAAGTGCTAATAAGTGCTGACAACGCGCTGTTCACACCGCCGGGAGGGGCGCAGAAGTGGGGCGGCGGCAGCCTTCCAGCATAGTCATGCATTTCTTGTATTGCTTCTTTCTTGAATAACTTAAAAGCATTGACGCACCAGGGCGCAGCGAAGTGTGAAATGACACGCACAGTGCTCGAGGTACGTTCGTTTCCTCTTCTTCGTTGCCTCTTGAGCGCTGTACTGCACACACCGCAAGTCGGAGGCTCGGTGTAGCAATACGAGCATTGTAGTTACTACACTCTAAGAAGTGCCTGCGCGTCTACATCAACGCAGCGAATGATGAGACGGAACATCTGTTTAGACCTCAAAATGAAGTCTGCGCTGCGGCATTACGCAATGTAAGCACGACACTTTGCATTGCGTAATGCCACAGCGCAGACTTCATTTTTAGGACTAATGCCACATCATTCGCTGAAGTGATTTTCTGTATTGCAGAAATTGGCTCTTTGACTGTCTTGCGGGTACGTATAGACGCGCAGACATTTCTTAGAGTGAAGTAAGATACGTGACAGCGTACGCAGGAAAGAATTTCTGCCGGGCACAGTCACCTGCCTCGCTTCGATGCTCTTACCGACTGCCATAAGGGCAATGGAGCTCAAGTACGTCTGCTTTTTTTGCAGGGGTTGTGGTGACGTCAGAACGCGAAACTCTGATTAGTGGGTAGACCTCAAGGCAGCTTGCTTTGAGTTCTACCCAATATACCTTCCAATAAGAGCCAATCAGAACTCGGCGTCGTTCTGACGTCACCAGAACCACTGGGCAAGAAGCAGACGACTTGCTCTCCGCATAGACGTTTGCCAAGTTAAAGGGTACTTCGGCGTTTTCTCATCGATTTGCCTGATTTATGCTAAACACACCAAGAAACATCACTGAAATTGTGTATCAGCTATCACGTACAAATAATTATTTTAGCCATATTAATGGATTTTCAATTTTGGTTCTCAACGTGTATTTTCAAATTGAAGGTTCCTACTGGTAACAATAAAAGAGTGATACTAGCGGCAGGCAGGTTTTCACTCTTTGGACTGCAGCCTTTGTTTCCAACTGATCCCAAGCAGTTTCATGGTGTGAAATGAATGCTCTGAAAGCTCGCTTCAGTACCAGCGTGCTAGCACGAAACAAGTGCTTGGCAGACTTGCAAGCCTGCCTGCTACCGACGTCACGACTCTGAAAGTGCGGGTGTATTCTAATGTTGGTTTGTGCACAATTTTTTTGCCGATTTTACAATAAATATTTTGAATTTCGCGATACTAAATAGCATACCGGAAAGAGTAAAGGCCGGTGATTCAGAACGTATAGTTCGTTGGAATAGCTTAGGAATTGGGAAATCCCATTCCAGTGTCTTGTTTTCTTCAGCATATGCAGGATTGACACCGATTTTTTGTTTGACACCGAAAACGACCGATTCGATGTGGGAACGAAAGTAAACCCTGCAAAAACGCGGCCCAGTTAGATGACCAGTGAACCCAGAAAACAAGGAACACTTTCAATAAGTTTCTCCTCGTATAATCCAGAGAAAGCGGGATAGAGAGAGAAAGGAAGATTTGAATGGACCAAGTCCAGCGCTACCAGTGGATGATGTCCATCGAGCTTTTGACGGGCTGGACTAGAAGCGGCCATAACGCGTCCCGTCGAGGAACTAGTCTTTACATCTCCTCGGCCGGACGCCTGTGGGAAGGGCTTGGAGTGTGCGCTGTACGAGACGCTCGAACTGAGTGCGCCGGACAAAGCAAAGTGTGTGCGTTCCTTTTTTTTTTTTTTTTTTTTTTACACGCCAGACAAACATTTATCTTGGCTCGATCTTAGCATCCCTAGGGGCCTGACTTTGGCTTAATACACTTTTGCTCCAAGGCATTAGCTATAGAGCGAGAGTACTTTTTTTCGGCTTTTCTATGGCTTTCCTCTAGCTCGCCATACAATTTCCAAAGTGACAGACTTGAGCCAAAGATGCCACGTATACCCGAACAGCTCTGGGCCTAGATTGGCATTCATTTTCCAATCTAGGCCCGGAGGTGCCAAAATACGCTTAAACTGGCAGCAGCGAAGCTTATCTTTGGCACTTGTTTGGCGAATTAGCGGCAAGGCGCCCAGACCCTGGTCAAGAAAGGTTAAGTTTGCCTCTACTGGCTTCTTTGGGTCTCTTGAGGCTCAAAAATCTGCGACAAAAAAAATAATATAATTAGTACCGAAGAACATACCTTAAAGTGTTGCGTTGGAAGCAGGGTGACGAATAACAGTCAATATGATTTAAATGAGACCCGTTTTTCTATCGTGACATAAATCTAACAATTTCAACCAGAATAGTCCCCCAAATTTTTTTTTCATTATTTGTCAATTAATTTATAAGATGCCTTTTATGTCCATTCGTTCTCTATTTAAATAAGAATTACCATACAAGGAAGACCTATATGGAGCCGAACACGAGACAAAAAAGGTGCTCCTCTGGGCAAATCGGAGCGTTCAGATTGATTTGTTTCGGTCACTCTGATCGTCAGCTACGTAACATCCTACAGAAAAAAAGAAAAACAATCAAAATGTGCAAAAAAGCAATGTCCTATTGCAATTAAGTCAGAACGGAAAAGAAATAAAAAAGTAAATTTCTTTATAGTTATCTATCTTATCAGCTGCACTTTGTACGAGTCGGCCGATTATTTGCTCCTTTTTTATCTACTTCTGGGGTTCCTCAAGGCAGTAACCTCGGTTCCTTGCTGATCTTTTTTTTTTTTTGTAAATGATCTAGCTTCCTTTATTAACCACACGCGGTTTTTGTTATTTGCTGATATTGAGTTTTTTTTTTACGGCGGTTAAATCGGTTGACGATGGTGAATGTCTTCAGCGTGACATATATTCTCTTTCGGCGAGCTGTTTTCCAAATGACCTACTCTTAAATGAGTCGAAGACGAAAGTTACGTCCTTTTCCTGGAAGCGTGAAATTCTGAGTTTTCTTTTTGTATAAAATTCCACCGATATTACTCGCGTCGAGATCATCCGTGATATGGGCGTTTTTATGGATCCTGCAATTAATTTCAATCATCACGTGACCACAATTGCGAATGCTTCCTTTAGAGTGCTGGGAGCCATTACGCGAGTGACACGAAGGTTTTCTACGCACTTTGTATTCTACGTTTGTTTTCTTCACTGGTGCGTAGTCGTTCTGAATATGCCTCAGTTGTCTGGAACTGTATTGGAGCGAAAAATTCAGGTGTAATTAAGAGTGCTGAACGTAGATTCGTTCGCGTATTGTTCGATCGTTATTTTCAACCGAATTATTTCTATATTTATGAGAGGATTTGTGAACTCGTGAAGTTGGACTCGTTGCACAACAGAAGAGCAACTCGTGGACTGATATGTGCATAAGATTGTAAATGGTATAATTGATTCACCAGAGCTACTCAGTCACATCTACTTTGCCATTCCTCCTTGGTCTAGTAAACTTTATAGTACTTTGTTTTACCCTACCGATTTTTACCATGCTGCAGCCATGACACGCCTTCAACAGACCCATAACCATTTAGAACAGACTCGTGGGAATGTCATTCTTGATAGTTTTGATGGAGAGCGTAAATTTTGAAAGTGTGTTGAGACTATTGTTTTGTCCTATCATCTCGTTTTTATCCAGTTTAAAATTTTACACTGATTGACTCGTTGATAGGTGCACCACTAAGGAGGCGTTAAGTTGATGGTGGGTCACTCAAGATAAAAACAAACAAAGCATTTTAGCAAAGTGAAAAAAATCAAGCCCTTTTTTGTTCTAGCAATAAAATTGTTTTTATCTGAACGGTACATTACATTTACAGTATTTATGTCTTCCCTATTGTTATCAATATTCGGACGTACTGATCAATCAGTCTGCCATGTTGAAAATACATATACCGTAGCTGTAACGAATCATTATTTCTTAGCTACCAGGGATGGGCAAAATACATGCAAATATGAATTGAAATACAAATACAAAATACTTCATCAAAAGTGTATTTAATGACAAATCTAATTACATTTCCAAAAAGGCATTTAAGTACAAGATACAAATACAACCAAATGTATTTGGTCTGCTCCAAATACTTTTCCACATACATTCCTCAACATTTGCGTCAGCGACTTCCAAGGCACCTGCAACGGGTTTCTGGGTATCTCATTTTAATTTTGCATTGCACACTCAGGAATTAGTGTGCGAGGCTCTAGTAACGTAAGAGAAATATAATCACAAAAAAATGTAATCAGCTTGGACGTAATAGATGAAAAAAGTACAGAGCTTCAAGAAGCTTTTTTTGTTGATTATATATTGGTATAGACCAACAAAGAACCGAGACGACCAAGACGTGCAGCGCTAGCTAGAGAATTTTTTATTGTTGCAACTCGCACCAGTTACGAAAATGTGGACGACCCACGGATTTAGAATGCTTCAGACAACAATATGGATGGAAATCAGGCTGGAAAGTATCACAAGTTGTCACAGGCACTTATTTAGCCAGTCTGCCTGTGAACCTCGATTTCGTCACTATTCTTGCCCTGGACTAGCACCGTAAGCACAAAGTCACTAAACGCTTGTGCTTGATTGAGAGACACTGCATTCGGTGCAGAACGTAGTTTTCTTCCTGCTCTGGGCAGTGACAATAAATTTGAGGGATGTATTTTCGCCCACAAAATTGTATTTAATTACAATTGTATTTGAAATACCCACGTTTTAGTATTTAAATACACACGTCAAATGGATTACCCAATTGGTAATTAAATACAAATGCAAAATACACAAAGTATTTGAAATACGTATTTCAAATACTTGTATTTGAAATACTGCCCATCCCTGGCTACAGTAATCCACGATTTCTTTTCACCCTGGTTGAAACAACTTGGAGGCGACTGTGTCTGCGCCCGTCGGACAAGCTTCGACCGAGACAGCTCAACGTTCTTCTTTCGTTCTCTGTCGCAGCGCTGCCTCCGCTCTTCTTCAAGGAGGAGCCTCCCAGCACGGTCTTGTTCCTGAACAGTAGTGGCGCCGTGGTGCCGTGTTCGGCGGGCGGCGTGCCGACGCCCTCCACGGCCTGGCGCAAGGCGGACGGCGGGCCCGTGCTCACCGAGCTGCCGGGCCTGCGCCAGCTGCGCTCGGACGGGTCCCTCGTGTTCCCGCCGTTCGGTGCCGAACAGTACCGTCCCGACGTGCACGCGACCAGCTACCGTTGCGAAGCGTCCAACAGCTACGGCATCATTGGGAGCCGAGACGTCAGGGTCTCCGCAGGTACGTGCCGTTTGTTTGGCCACACAGAAGGCAACATATATATCTCCTGCTAAACACCCGTGCCCTACTCGGCGCCGAAAAGTATTCTGGGAGCTGGCTGTATTGGCGACGAGATCCCACCACAGGACCATGACACGTTAGGGTCTTAGAAGCTACGTGCCGTTTGCTAGGCCATCTAGAAGAGAACCTACGTATATATGTCCTGCTAAACCCCCCGCGCCCGACTCGGCGCCGAAAAGTATTCTGGGAACTGGCTGTATCGGCGACGAGATCCCACCACAGGCCCATGACACGTTAGGGTCTTAGGAGGTGCGCGCATATTTTAATGCATGACTACATTGTTAAAAAGACACAAAAGTATTTGTTTTCTTTGTGGCTGGATCAAACTTGTATCCATTTAATTTTGGTACTAATTTGTAACCACTTGGATACTTTCATTGGGAAGTAATCTTAAGAGTAATACGATTACTTTTAGAAGTATTAAAATAACTTGCAATTGTTGCCATTGTTACCTTCCTATTCTAATGGCGCCCCTTGTTTCTATATGTTTCCTGCCCCGAAATTCTCGAACCAAGTCTGTGGCTAATGGACGGTATTGCAAAAATAATGAATTAAGAATATAAGTTTCTACTGCCCATTATGGGGTTAGAATAACCGAGTTATAATTCGGTGATTTTAACCACGTGATGGACTGCGTAAAACACTAATTTTGGAAACCGGCATGTCGTTTTGAACAGACTTAAGTGTTCGTTGCTTGAAAAGTATTACGGACTACAATTACAAATTATCGAGCCTCAAATGCAGCGAATAACCGTTACAAATTAGTTTCGCTGAAAAATAACGGGTTACGTTACTCGTTACGTTACAAATTACCCTCAAGTTACTTTCCCTGTACATGCCCGGAGGAGTAAACCAAAAGTATCGTTCTTACTCTCGAAGACGAAGCTCTTAGCATCTCTTAACCTGGCGCCGGACGCTTTTCAGCCCTGTCTCAAGAGCATAGAGGTAAGAATAAGGGGAGGCGACACTCCGGCTCGAGCCAGCCAAACGAGATAAACCCGATTGAAGCCGGACGTAAAGGTCGCAATCGGCGGGAACGCCCCCGAGGATGCTCAAGTCCGATAGCGTCCAATGGTGCTTACTTTGGTTTTGGTCTTCGTTGGGGGCCTGTTCCTACAAGCCAGAAGTCTCCCCCTGGTTCACCGCTGGTGGCGTCATGTCGCCCTCAGAAGCTAGTTCCGACCTCTATGCTCAAGAGCGCATCAAAATACGGTAGGGCACATCATAGACAAAGGGAAGAAACCTCGACTTCTTCGAGGGAGCTGTGAACCCCCCAAATCGCGGGGGAACGCACCCGCGTTTGATGTCTGTGCAGGTGGCGGGAGAAGTCGAAGATGCTTGGAAGGGGTGAAACGGTGTAAAAGTCAAAAACAAATAAACGCGGAGAGCTTTCTTCTGCCCAGGAGAATAAAAACACGATGGAAGGTGTTGGAAAGAGGCAGAGTCTACTCGGCGTTATCTTCTTGATTTTTGTGTTTCGCGTAGTTGTATATGGCTTGCGCGTTTTTCTAGTGGTTCTATACTTCGTTTGAACTTCCGTCCGAGTGCAGCCAAAGGCTGCACTCGAACGGAACGCACCACAAAGTAGTTCGCAAAAGTCATAAAAAAACTGTTTTGTGCATAAACATTGCAATATATTCCAGATCTGTACTTCTGACAATTATTTACAACTAAAGGAATTAAATATCTGAAGTTTATGCTTTTATTAATATATATAAATACACGTGGTTTGGTGAAAACACGTACATCCGCTGGCAGCACGGCTGCAACGCTCGTCTTTTTTGTGTGATTTCGTTCCCGTAATGTCCGAATTATGTGCTTCGCTGCTTCCTCACCGAGTCGCTTCAGCCTCCTTTCGCAAAGGCACGTTTGGGCGTCAGACGCTAGAGGTCGTGATGAATGTCTGCTTTCAAATTGGGCAGGAGACTCCGGCCGCGTCGTACCGCGAATGCGTTGTAAACAAGAAAAGCGTCCGGGCCACTACAATTCACTGATACGCGGCGAATCAAGGCACCCCTTTACCTGCCGATCACATTGAACGCCGAGAAGCTGGTGGAAAGGACTGCGCTTCGAGCCCTGGTATACCAAGACGATAGGAGGAAACATCAACGGCCGCGGGTCATTGGGCACCTTGCAATGTGTACTTACATCTCGAAACTATGCCGAAGTACCGAACAGGTGCAAAGCTCGGACACAGACGCCAGCGGCCAGCCTACATACTGACATCCCATGTGACTAAAGTTCAGCACGTGAAAGGGCACTTTCTAAACCTGTAGCAGACGAGACCGTTGATACACCAGTAGGAGACGAAATACTCGGCGAGCGCAGGCGGCGCCGACGACCAGCGGCGGAGCGGAGTGATACAAAAAGCCAGGCGAGATCGCGTGTGTGATTGGCTCCGGCTACACCTAGCTTTGACTGCGCTCGGACGGAAGCTGAAACGAAATGTAGTGACCAGCCGCAGAAACCATATCGTGTTTTCTCTTCGGTTTTTCTACTCTGAAAAAGTTTTTTTTTTTATTTATTTCGTTGAACTTTATGCTGCGGAATTGCCTGCTAATATTGCTCCACTTTCTGTAATACGTTTGCATTATTTTAAAAAAATTAACGAGTAATTAGAGTAATCCGTTGCAAGTGTTATGTAACGAAATTACATTACAAATTACTGCTTCAAAAAAGTAACGTGGCAATTACAAAATTACTCGAAAATGTAATGGTTTACTTCTCAAGTCTGGTTTTGAAAATTGAAATTACTCTAAAAGGAAACGGTAGCCTTTGCATGTAACACCCAATTACTTTTCTTCTTAAGTAGTAAATTATTATAATTGCATACTCTTTAATCAAATGTAATTCGAATTGTAACCGATTACTTTTTTTTCGAGGAAGGTGTACAAGACTGTGTGTCACGACGCCTGTCACAAAAAGCACTTTATCCGAAAAAAAAAAAAAATTTCGCAATACGCGATAATTATTTGGACTCAGGAGCCATTCAGCATTTCGGTACGTTGACCCGAAATAGTAAAATGTTTTGGAATCGCTCGTAGAGACACTGAGCTCGCAGTCGTATTTCACCATAATGACCGTTTCCCTTCAAAATTTTCCTTTACCGCCATAATTTGGTTATTATTTCATGCCGCTATATCTTAGGCCTTACAGAATTAAAAACAAAAATGACACAAAAGTCAAATTAATGCGGTCTGTGCCGGTGAATTTACGGCCAGGTAATGGTCACGTCAACTCGGATCGAGAACTAAAATCTGTTAATTCACTTTTTAACTGGTGAACAAAAAAAAAAAAAAAAAATAATTTAAAATTTCTTTAAGCGTAATCGAAAGCCATTAAGTCAGTAATTTAAGAATAACTAGGAGCGCGTGGCAACCATGGTGAAAGACTAAAATATCCACCCGTGCAACATACGGATGTCGCTACGAGAACAGGGATGATAAGCGCGTGGTGGTGTCATCACCCGAAAAATCCTAAATGTACAAAGGCCGGTTCACTCGGTTCCGTGTGACAACGACCGTCTGAGACATGAGCGGTTTTTAAGCCTTTTGCGACGGCTTAGGACCAGCTCCGCAGCAGCCCATCCGGTCGTACGTAAGCCGTCCTAAGAGGCTTAAAAACCCGTCTTGTCTGAGTCGGTCGGAGTCGGTCGCAAGCGTGCGAACGGGCCTTAAAGGGCAAAGCGCAAACGAGGATATAAAGAAATCATGAGAGCTCTCTCTCGTCGTCTCAGTCCACATTTTTTATAATTGTTACGTTGCACGGGATAGCCCGGATTAGTATTGTAGTTATCGTCCCAGTTTCGAACCGCCATCCTTGTGCAAGCTTCGCACGGGCTCGAAATCTTTTATCTTTTTTTTTTTAATTGACGGATTTTTGGTCTTTGGTGAAGTTCAGTGATTTTCTTCTACGAACCATTCATGCTTATTTTCACTAATTGAATAGTTAACTAATGAATCCTAGTTTATTATCCGACTCACCGTGAAGATTATCCCCCTATAGTATGGCTCCGTGGACGTATAACTCGTGTTCAAAGAGTGGATTACTGTTCCGTTCACGGCCTTTTTAAAGAAATCTGTCAAGCCTAAAGCCGGGGTCAGACTTCTCCTACATCATACAAAAGACAGTCTGCGAGCAGGAGTCACCGCAATATCTCTGGCTCGAAGTCCGCGTGCCAAGAACTCCCTTGAACTCATTGTCATCGTGACATTCAAAGGACGGATCTCGCGGTGAGTCGCGTTCGAGTTTGTATGCAGACTGTCTTTTGTATGATGTGTGAGCAGTGTGACCCAGTAAAATTAAAACATTACTGATAGTGATGTTTTAGAGCGCAGCTTTTAGGCGCCCGTTTCCGGCTTGAGCGGCGTCGCCGTCGCCGTCGCCGTCGGCGTAACCGCGAACCCCCCCCCCCCCCCCCCCCCCCCCCGAGGAGCTCGGGAGGACCTCGGGGGGACCTCGGGTTTCTTCGGGAAGACCTCGGGTTCCTTCGGGAGGACCTCGGGAGGACTTCGGGTTCCTCCGAGAGGATCTCGGGTACCCTCGGCGACCTCGGGGGTGGGGTCACCTCACTCCCCCCCAGGTCACGTGACCCCCCCCCCCCCCCCCCCCCCCCCCCCCCCGAGGAGCTCGGGAGGACCTCGGGTTTCTTCGGGAGGACCTCGGGTTCCTTCGAGAGGACTTCGGGTTCCTTTGGTGACCTTGGGGGGGGGGGGGGGGATGGGGGGAGGTCACGTGACCTCCCCCCACTAAGGTCACGTGACCTCCCCCCTCCGAGGTCACGTGACCGCCCAGGTCACTTGACTCCCCTCAGGTCACGTGACCCCCCCTACCCTCCTTTACTCCTCCTCAAGAGCTGCGCTCCAATTCGGCGTTACAGTGAGTTGTAAACGGCTTTCATTTTTTTATTCAGCTCATTTTACAGCGGAGCTGTTAATGACTAGGTTCCCCAGGATCGTGTCCGGTATATCGACACAAACCTGCCTGGACAGCT